GTCAGTTACAAGAAAGTTGGTTTGAGCACAGAATCCATGCTTGAGCATGAGAACGAACGATTTCATGAATATTTCTTGAATATGGGCCTAGGAGTTGGAGGAAGAATGAGTTTTAAAACAAACTTACTGCGAGGTTGCAGTTGAGGTCTTTTAGACATTTGATTTTAAACTGTTGGCTCCGAAATGATTATCTATACAGCTGGAATTCTTTTTTGGAACATACACTAATTACATTACACAGATTTTTATCCGCTACTGTTCTGACTATAGTTATAGATATATATATATGTAACTCAATTTCATTTCTTTGAACCTTGCAAATATTTCCAACTGAGAAAATGACCATATGGTGAAACTCATCTTCCGTAAACTCTTTAACCTGAGAAGTTTCCAGCGGTTTAATTAGTAGAAGACTCCCTGTGGTCCTCATCGCAGCTCTCTGTGGTCTCCCGGTTCATCCAGCCTCTTAAGACCAGCGCTAATTCGTTTAATTACACTACAAAGACATTTTCCATCATTTTTATTTTCGTGTGAAGTATAATTATGATATTCCTTTTTGTGTCTCGTAAAACCTGAAACATCAGATCACTTTTTCTACCGTACTTAATTAACTAAAGGTCTTTAGTGAAGTCGTACATCTTAATAATTGCTCCTCCGACGAGAGTGGATAAAAGATTGATTTAAATAGGGGATTTTTGTTATTATGTAAGTAACATGACATTAACGTCATAAGATGTCGGTAATTTTTGACCCCGAGTTCAGCGATAATTTGCAAACAGATGAAAGATGTGTAAAGCCGTGAAGTGCATCTGAATCATGAGAATGTTTAATCCAGATGGTGTTTAGGTAAAGACGGATCAAAACAAGAAAAAAATGTTTATGTTTTGTCATAGAACTACAAGCGGTCGTAATGGTTTTGATGTAAACATTTTGTCCGCTGATGAAGACAGATGTGGGGAAGAAGTGTGCACACCCTGGTACGTAAATGGTAACAGTTTTAAGTGCTAGGAGCCTATAAAAACACTTAAAACTCGGAGAAGTATAAATATACATGTAATGTTATCAAACCTGTCTTCACCACATCTGTCCTGATGTAACCTGCCCAGGGGTCACAAAGGGGCCGACTCCAGCCCCACGTGATATATGATAGATTGCTCTGGGCCATTAGATATATCTACCAAATGTCAAACTCTGTCACTAGTACACTGACAGACAATACTGAAATTGTTTGCTGTGCTAATTCATGTTCTTTGAGGGGTTGATGTATCCTGGTGATAAGATAATTGCTGTGACCATTTCTATAGAGGTTGGAGAGGTGTAGATGTCTAGAAGCACCTGTCCAAACCTACACTATAGATTTGTACCTGGAGCCTTCGGGGTACATCACCTTATCTCTGCGAACATTAAAAAATATAACACCCTGATCCATTAAGAGGTGTTTTCACCTGTCCTCGGGGATCTTTGTCCTCGGTAAGGTTGTACGTCATAGATGTCTGTGGTCGGTCACTGTTTTAAGTGATCTAAAGATGGAGAGTAAAGTGATATCGGTGTTATCATCGACGTGTGCCTGACACGTTCGGCTTCAAACTGCGGTTTCCATGGTTATAATGTACTAACAACTACATCAAAATCCATTTTATTTTAAGATTCCTCAATATTACATTAATATGTTTCTAGATAAAGCACATACCGTAAATAAAATACAAGATGAAGCTAACATATTAGATATTAATGTCTAATTTGTTTGAAAGGTATTTTTGTCCAATTCTGATACATTTTCATATGTATGAGTAAACAATGTAGTAAAGAAACAGAAATTTAAACTTTTCGCAAAAAAATAAAATAATCTAAGGTACTGAGTTTAGTAGCATGAAATTTTGAAATTTAAAAACAAAATTATGGTTTATAGAAACAAATTTGAAATTGAAAATCAAATATTTAGTTTATTATGTGATAGCTCTGTTGCTACAAAGCGTTTCTTTCTCAATATCTACCAATATCTATGGTGTCTTTAGGTGCTAATTAGAAATTGTTAATTAGAAAACCACCTGAGAGTTCCATTTAATCCACCGATAATTCATGCTGTTCTGTAATTAAGAGGAATATAGAATTTTCTTTTTCTAAAAATGAATATACTTTTAATTGCTGTATAAAGATTTGTATAACATTTATTCGGTCGATCAGACTAACGGAGATTGTCATTAAATTTATGAATGACTTGATCAGAAATAGTTGAGATTAAAATATCGTTGAGGTAGGGCTCCATTCAATGTGTCACTTTAAAATGATTCAATACCTTATGTTTGATTTAAATAATTTAATCAATAGCTATAGGTGTGAGCATTTCTATTCGTTTCCACGATAAGGTGATTTATCTCGGATTTTCATTCCAGTTTAATTGATTAAAGGTGATAAGGCGAATTTAGCACCTGTTACCCGTTACATCAGGTATGAGATGTTTTAAGACCTGGACTACCTGAGAATATTAACGACATGACTTATCCATAATTGTGTTCTGCCGGCCTTACAAGATCACAGCTGGTATATTTTGATTATTACGGCCCTGAACCGTCTACATGTTCTGACAGAAACAGCGATTTCCTATCAACGTTCCTTATACAATTTACATTAAGGCTCACAGAAGTCAGACCCTATCAACCTTCATCGTCACATCTCAGGATCTGTGTTGCTTTAAAGCCAATGGAAAACAGATAAATTCTTTTTTAAGATTTCAACAACATTGATTAGGTATGACTTTAATCCTGTACACCAGATTTGTAGTAAGAAAAAATAGGATCAATATCTTCGGAGACCTTGTAGGAAGTGTAACGGACATATATGGAAGAGCTATATCCTGTGAATTTGTAAGAAGTCCTCAAGTTCAATATTTCCTGACATTGTAGGAAGTGTAATTATAGTGACCTATATTTCATGAGATTTAGTCGGAACATTAAAGGATGTTTATTTCATACGACATTGTAAGAAGTTTTAGGCCTACATCTTGTGAGATTTTGTTGGAAATGTTGCGACAATATCTTGAGACTTTGTTACAAATGATAGAGACGTGCATACATATTGTGAGATTCTGAAGGCATTGTTAAGACAATATCCTGAGACATCGTAGGCAGCATTAGTGATCTATATCTTTTTTGAGATTTTGAAAGAAATATTGCATGAGATTTTGTAGGAACTAGTGAACGGCTCTTATATTTGGTGAGATTTTGTACAAATATGTTGGGAATACATGTACATGTATACATCTTGATGGATTTTTTTGGAAGCGCTCAGGACCAATATCTGATGACACTCCCTTGAACTGAAGTCTGATATGTAATGTTTCTGGCCTGAATGAAGAGCAGTGTTCCCAGAAACCCCTAAATGAGTGTTTTTCACCCCAGAAACAGTTGGTTGTACTCCCAGTTTTCAACAATTGCCTTATGTAACTAAGTATCTAGGGGTACAAAATCTTAACAATGTATCAAATTTACCCCCAAATCTAAAATTCAGTGGTAAAACTGCAAGAGAGGGCCTGTTATGTCCGGATCGTTCAGATGGCTACGATCCGTTAACCCTGCATGACTCTGGGGTATTGATAGACTCAGGACGGGCTGCGCTACCTGTCCAATACCTGTTGTGATACCTGTGTGCAGTCACTGACAATTTCTTTTACACATGAACTTGATGTATTGATTTTCAACAATGTTAGATCCGTCTTGTTAAACGCCGTTTCACTACCCTCTGCATGTCGTCGATCACCTCTTGGTACCGAGCCTGAAGGAGCTGGGAACACTGTACACCTGTTTCACCTGAGCCTGCATGTCTTCGGGCTCACCAAGGTGTTTGTACCTCTGTAGTGTTAATTGACTGTCTATGGGCGTTTCATAGCACTCTCACACATATTGGAACAGGTGAATGTTTATATATGTATATATATACACAAAAAAACCGGAGATGTGTGTTTAGTTGCAGAATAAAGACCTAACAACTGAATAAGAAAATATGAAATCTTCATAGAACTTTCTTACGGACAACAGAACAGAAGAAAAGGAAATCAATTTATAAATTATTGGATTATTTTAGCCTGAAGGGGTAATGCTGTAATAGTGTCGTCTCAACAACAACTCTACAACAGGAGAACTCCTCTCAGTGAGGTACAGGATCCAATGACCCTAATTGAAGGGTAAGCAATGGTATTATATATCGAGATGAAACATTGGAAACTCAGTTTTAACCTATTCTTGCATCAAGGTACAAATGATGTGTGAAGTGGTCTCTCAATCTGTGTTCATTTGAAGTGGGAGACAATCTAGGTGCTCACCTGTACAGAGGCCACTAATTGAAGAGTAGAGATGTTTACAAGTGATGTATGGGGCTGGCTAAGTGGCCATTGTCTCCTCAAGGGGTCCTAAGTGGCACGGATCGGTCTTTTGTTGAGCCGTAAAAGATCTGATGGCTGATTACAAGAAAAAAAAAAGATTTTTTTTTACGAGACAGGTAAAAAATCAACAAAGGTGTGATTACTAAGGCTTGAATTGTTCTTGTTTCTACTTGTTTGAAATACAGGTATGTTGATATTTCTTTTGTCTTATGACAATAGAAAAGATACATTTACCTGTTACTGTGTTGAGATGATGCATCAGAGGCTGCTAACGATATGAACACAGGTGTGAAACAGACAGGTACACTATACAAACACGTAGATACACAGGCGCAAATGGCAGTTTTTGTCTTGCAAACAAAAAAAGGAATCCCAGAGGAAGTTTAGTGCTGAATACTTCACCTGATACAAGAAAACCCAGGTGATACATGTCCTACCTGTTGGCACCTGTACACAGGTACAATTAGCCAATCAGTGTGTTTTGTTTTATTGCTGTATCAGCGTGTCTGAGCAGAGGGGTATCACTGCTGTGTAGGCGGCCACTACGATCTGGTGCCACAGGGCTCTGGTGCCTGGGTATACTACTATACTCACACCAGTCTCGGGGGGGAAACGCTGAAATTAGTCAAAACTTTGTATTTCTGCCCTGTGATTATAAAATCTCAACAAAAGTGGGATCGCGTGCCTGGCTGAAATTGTTTTTCTCTGTCAAAGTTGTAGAGACTCGAAATCAGCGATATATATCTTGAGTGTGTTCATCTGCATTCAATTATCTGCGGGGCCTCAGCCTGTGATGTGGTGTGCACCTTGCTTGTGTAGGGTTGATTTGTGTCCCATTGATGTGCGATTGTCTCTGATCCTTCCGTCACACGACACACTCTGATAGCACAGGCCGTTTTTACCTGTACACCTTGGGCCGGTGCTGCGGCCTGACACAAACGGCCAGATTACCGTGAGGGATTAGTTCTACCTGGCAGGTAACACACAGGTAACACAGCCGACAAGTCACCGAGGTCATAGGTCACTGGTTTTATCTTGGGTTAAAGAAATCAGTCAATTAATCATTAGTGGGATAGAGAGCAGGCAGGCTGGTCTTTCCGTAGTTGTCTCAGGTGTTTTCTACCATGTGTATAGGCATGGTGTGTGTTTATATTTACCTAGATCGGAGGAAGGATACTTCTGCTTGTAATTAATTAGAACCCAGGCATATATATATATACCAGTATGGCTGGAGCGGTGTCTCTGTGGTCAAGGCTGGTTCGGTCAGGCTAGTGGACAACCTGTGTTAATAATATACTGCGATACCTGTGTTACTCATTTACCTGACAAGTTTATAACGGTCTTTTTTGAGGATAACCATCTATTACTTACCTGCCCGGGCAATATGATCTTTCACACCTGGAACAGCCTTACCCGTGTCCTACTACATCGTTAACATGTGAAAACAGTGATTTACCTGTGTGCTACTTACCGTCATGTGCGAGGAAAGTAGACGTTTCCACAGATGAAGCAGTACTTCCCTAAACAATGGAATATAAAACTAAATACCTGAAGAAAACAAAAATGAAAAATGTGTGTTGAAAGCGAGTTATCCAGGATTCGTGCAAAACACACCTGGAATCCTGAGGACAGATACTAAACCATTATTAGAATGCAATATCTGTCCTGGGATTTAACGGAGAATTTTGGGAGGAGAGTATTGATCTCGGAATTATTTTGTGTTTACGTATATTACCTTCAAAAAGAAAGTGTTGAGCCGATCTTTTAAGTTGAAATATGATGAAATGGTCTTATCGCGAGCCGAAAGACAAGAAGAAACGAGGAGGCTTCTTCTTCAGGAAGGTAAGAATGTGTACCACATCATTGTTGTTATGGGTCTCGGGGGAATTTGGGGAAAGGGACATTGAAATACTGATAAAGATGCGTTTAACATGCATGGGTACCTATATATAGAGTATGGATGGGGACGTCGAAATGTAAACAGATGACTATTAGCATGCATATTTGACATTGAATTATGGATGAGGAAATTATTGTATGGATGAGGAACATTAGAATATAGAGTCCAAGGAAGGTCTGATATAATCGTTGTGTGGATAGATACATTGAAATTTTTATTCATTCACCCCTACATATTTAAACTGGACTTGCACAGTCTTTGATTTGTTAAGGTTGAAATGTGACTTTAGGGAGAATGGTTTGAAACATTCAATATATGGATATAGGAATCGGGATGGTGAGGGCACTGAATATGGCTAAGAACCATTATGAATTGAAAGAAATTTCTTGACAAGCACAATGTATGAATTAAGAATCAATAACTACAGATCGTGTCCTGAAGTAAATGTAAGGATCTCACGTCTGGTTAGCTTAATGTATATGCATAGGGACATAGGGAGTACTGTTATGATCAACAGAACAGAAGACCAGTAAGTTTGAACTAAAGACACATGAAGTTTAGAAAGGGTCCATATATGTATAGGAGGGGCTTAAAGTATGGTTAGCTTAATATATATATATGGACGTAGGTAGTGCTGCTACAATCTATAATACCAGTAAATAATAACTGATGACCAAAATTTTTAGATAAGACACATGAAGTATAGAAAGGGTCCATATGTATAGATTATAGAGACGTAAAGTTTGGTTAGCTTAACGGATAGGGACATTGGTAGTTCTGCTACAATCTATAATACCAGTAAATAATAACCGATGATCAAAAGATTTAATTAAGACACATGAAGTATAGAAAGGGTCCATATGTATAGGTAGAGACGTAAAGTATGGTTAGCTTAACATTGGTAGTGCTGTTACAATCTATAATACCAGTAAATACAACTGATGTATGTATATGGTATAGTAATACTATAGTGAGTATATATCTACACACTTATCAAACAGCTTAGTCTCCCAGACATTTGAAGAGGACTGCACGGAGTTATACTCTCTTACAAGCTACAAACAGCTGATCAATACGAGGGGTTTTCACACTTGTGTTTAATGTGGGTACAAAACTAGGGTCTTGTTGCACAATTATATAATAATAGAATCATACCTGGCCTACATATCTGGTTAGAGCCATACCTGTCACTCTCGTACAGTTAACTGGTGTTGAGGGTAATTCAGTATGGGGGTAGTTACTATTTAAATCTGGTGTAATTTTAGGTCCCTATGTATGTCACTGTCGACAGCTATCGGGTGCAGTTCAGATGTCTAGATCTGTGTACTGGTAACCTTTTTGGGTAACACTTATAGGGGCTAAACGTTTATGGGAATATGATTTTTCTTAAGTATACACTACCTCAGTTATCTATCTTTAAAAAAAATCATTTCATATTTTACAGTTTTGGAAAAAAAGTTAAGTTGATAGGTTTTTAAAATAAAAAAAATTATGCAAATTGTATGATATATTTTTTTTTTTACGTTTCAACATTTACCATACATCAATGTGTACAAAATGTAAGTTTAATACATAAGTCTTAATTTTGTACAAGGACCATTTGATTGTTCGAATGAAAAGAGGTTGTTCCATAAGAATGAATGAAAAAACTCTGATTTGAATAAAAATTCCTGAATTTATACTGTTACACAGAGATGTAAACAATTTCACTACTAATCTGGGGAATCAGAACCGAAAGTTTGTCCAATATAACAGGCTTTGGTTGTGAAGTTTGACCTAGAACTAAGTCTGGGTGGATGTTTGTCCCGCGCTTTAGAGATAGATCATGTATTACCTGTATCATGTATACTTACCCTCCATTACCTAGGTAGACATGTGAGGGATGTTTGTCTGAAATCGGATACACTTTATCTGTACTGTAAATACCTGGAGTAAGACGGCACAAGTGATGGGGTACTTGAGAGCCCCTCGTATCATAGACAAGTGTCGGGGTATTACAGGGCCCCTCGTAACATAGACAAAGGGATTACTTATACAAACTCACCACAGTTATTGGGTGTCGTCATCGATATTTCACGGGATTAATTGCCCGTTAGTTTACATAACATCGTATATAGCTGTATGTATATAGGCCTATATACCATTAAAATTGTGATACAGTCTTTAAAATTTCATTTGACCTGATATCGTTACTGAGTGTAAAACAAAGAAAAGATGTACACAAATTAATTTATTATTATTATTGGTACACCTGCCCACCTGGTATTGTAAACAAAGACTTTCATCTGTGTAGTATGCCACAGGTGATTGTTTGTCATCGGCTTATTAAGGATTGTGACTATAGCCATTCATGTAAAACCAGGATTTATATGAAACAGATGTATTCTTAATTACATTGTCATACTTGCCAACTTTTTGAAATTTCTATGGGGGATATTCTGCATGCTTAGAATATACTCCCAAGAGACCTAATAACCCTTTAAAATAACATTTTTTGAGTTGTTCTTTGAGATGAAATCATTAGATCTTAAAATATAGGAATAGTTTACACAATTTCCTGGTTGAAGCTACTGAATTTAACTCATTCACCCCTGAAATTTCATAATAAACTATTCCAGCCTTTGAATTGGAAGAGTTCAAATGTGTCTTCAGGGGTTAATGAGTTAAGGGTAAACAATCGGGAGTCTCCCTCCTCAAAAAATAGGGAGAGTTGGCAAGTATGCATTGCCCCAAATTTGGACCGTAGAATTAATGTTGAGATTTAACCCATTCACCCCTAAAGTCACATTTGAACCTTACCAAAGCAAGGACTGGGCAAGTCCAGTTTCAATATGTAGGGGTGAATGAGTTAAATGGTTTGATGAATGAGGCCCAGAAAGGTGTGACAATTGTCACATTATACAGATGCTCGATATATCATCATAAATAATTGACATCTATACCATTGCTTACCTATGAAAAAAACACTTGACGGATCGTTTTGTTACGGTGACCTTCCCCTATATCCTACCCAACAGGTTCTTTCTGGGTTGTCTCCCCTTTGTTTTCCCTGTCAAGTCGTCCGTAAAACATTCAATACCACTACATGACAGATGTATTTTTCTATTCGTGTGGTTATAATGTCTATACTTTGACAATGTCCGAACAAAATAATGCCGATCGGGATTCAATATCGACTGCTACAGCACAAAGAGATTCATTCATAATTTCTGGTCTTTGTATTTGAAATTAATTAGTTTGTTCTGTTAATTTGTCTGTATCTATCAACCTCATCTTCTCCTGAATATGATGATATAGGAGTTGATACGGAGATCGATGTGTGCTTGATGTTACCAGATTAATCAGAAGTGTTTGAGGACTTCATCTTGGGACGTAAGCCAGACGCTGCATCTTGTATCTTCTACAGCTGGGTTTCTAAAGATGATTGCAGAATAAATCTCCAGGATGTATACCTGTTAGTATTGTAGGAAAATTGAACGATATAGGTTAAAATTCAAAAAGATCTTCACTGAGTGTGATAAAGTTGAAAACTATTTGACATATCCAACGTTATAACGAAGCACTACAATGTAAGTGTCAGTCTCCGTAGCATTGATTAAAACACATTAGGATTCCGCCTTTGTTCCATGTAATGGCCGTCTCATCCCAGTGAATAGGTCAGATTTAGGGATCGTTGTACAGGTATAAAGGTGTTAATTTGCTCGTTACAGTTGTAATAGGGTTCAGCGCTAATATGGCTGTGCTTTATAACTGAGGACCACTCTAAGACCCTTTGTGATTCATAATTAGGACCCATTGTCTCGGATAACGGCGCCGACTTGTAGAAGGTTTCTGTTTTCTGCCCAATAACAAGACCTTTGTTCCCGTAAATGGTGCATTTAACTGATCTGTAAAATGTATTAATTTCCATTCTCGAATATAAATTACATCTCATTTGCATATTGATTGGGGTCTATTGAATGTTTGTTTGTTAGTCAGAAATAGCCTGGACGTTTAGGTTTCATGCTTTGATTCCTACGTTACGCTGGGTTTCCGCGCTGTTATTTACTGCTTGATCTATACATATTTCGGAGTCCTATTGTTGTCCATGTTTTCTTCGGTACAAGTATAATACGGCACTTATTTTTATACCTTTAATTCTGTGTATAATGTCAACAGGTTGGACAGCATATACTATAGGTACTTTAGACAGTTGATACATAGATGAAGGGTCAATGTATGTTTACCGCGACAGGAACAGATACACCACGGCCATTCATGCTGTTATTGGTCATCGGCATAGACAGTTTGGTGTCAGAAACCTCTGAATACTTTAAAACTGGGAGGCCTGTGTACATATTTGGGTATTGAAACTGAGTAAAAGATATATGTACATGTGTTACATTGTATATTTGAAATAAATTTTTCTCAAATGAGAATGTTCACCTGAAACAGGTCAGGCAGGAATCGCTTGGTGTATGGAGGGACAGCATTTTAATTGACCTGTTGAAGCTGTCATTATCTGCTGTGTTTTGTGTAGCCATGGTTAGGGACACAAAGGTCTTGTCTTGTTAATTAGGCCGGGTTCAGGTCTGACTCACCCCCACCCCCACCCACCCCTCTCAACCACCCAGGTACAGAGGTAAAGATTGAGCTTATTACTGTGTTGTATGAGAAAAACACTTTCTCCTGGCTAAGACGATCTTAGCTTAAAAAAATAATTTCAAATATTTTTTTTCTAACCCTTTCACCACTGTAGACTGTAATGGACTTATCCAGATCAATGCAGGGTAGAGTTAATTAAAGTAACACAGGGGTGAAAGGGTTAAACATACTGAATTCCTGAATAAATAACTGATTGAAGATTCTCTATTAATTAATGCAGTTTTCACTTCAGATATTTGACTTGTTCTTCATGCCATTTTACACAGAAATCTCAAATGTTCTTGCTACTTTGAAACTT